TCTGGAAACAGGACCCTTGCAGATATAATTAGTTAAGATGAGGTCATACTGGTGTAGGGTGGGTTCCAATCCTATATGACTGGTGTCCTGATAAAAGGGGAAATTTAGTGCAGAAACACAGAGAGAACATCATGTGATGACTGGTATCGTCAGGATGTATCCATCCAAGGGACCACAAGCAGCTAGGAGAGAGGCCTTAGCAGACCTTCCCCAATGCTTTCAGAGGAAACATGCCCTGCTGACACCTAGATCTTGGACCTCCAGCCTCCAAACGCTCAGGTTGTGATAGATGATATGACAGCCTAGGATCTCAGTACATGCATGACTGGGTGGTACAGCACCTTAAGTCATTAACTATTCCAAATCTTCTGTTTCCTACCCTGTAGGTGAGGATAAAACCCACCTATCAGGGAGGCTCATACATACCTGTGAATGCTGTAGAGTTTCGGGGGAACATTAGGTAGTAGTATTGTACCTAAGGCCATTGTGTTCCTTCTTCCCATCCTTCTTTTCTTTTTTGTTTAAATATGCATACAATTTTAAAGGTTTATGCTAAATTCTCCCTTCAAAACATACTGCTCAATACTAAAATTGGGGAATTTCTGTCATGGCCAAAGATTTGCTGGCTTTAGAGAGGCTTCAGGAACTAAATATATGCTCACTCCTGAGATTTATTGGTCACGTGTACCAATAAATGTTCCAAGAGGAACAAATTATTATGGGGAGGTGGCAGATGGGTGTCCTCTTGCAACCCCACTCTGACCATCAGACCCCCTTCCTGGAACGCTGTGTGGAGGATTCTGAATCTGTGTCTAAGGAAGAGTCCATGAGTTCCCGTGCTATTTGCGGTGGGCATAGTCTAGTGTCACTCAGTGATACCTGCCATGGACTAATGTAGCTCATACTTTTGTGGATGTAGACTTCACATTTCTTTTTAATATTGACTAAGTTCTCTGAAATGTGAAAATTTATGACAAAACTCACTTAGCTAAAGAAAGCCAATTAGCTGACATTCATCTAAATCAGGCATATCCTAAAAAATACTTGAGAGTTAAAATAAAAGTAGTTGAATAAATTTAGAGTTGTCTGTGAGGAGAATACAGATAATAATTTTAACAAGAAGCTTTTATTTTCCCCTCATGGCGCTGAGAATGGATCCAGGGCCTCGTGCATGCTAGGTGAGCACTCTATCATGCAGCTACATCACAGATCTAACAATATGCCTTACTTAGAGCTGGTTGTTGGAGGTTGTGCATCTGACTTAGTGAAATGCACTTTACTTGCATGATTTCAGTGAATTCAAGTCATACAAGGCAGGTTATTCCTCAGGATACTAAACTTATTAAAGGTTAGGTGACAGAGAGGCTTTAGGTCTCATAGCTGCATCCTGGCAGAGCTGGGATTCAAACCCAGGTCTGTGTCATATTGCAATATCTTTTCTTAGGCTCATGATGCTAGAATGTGTGTATGTGGGCTTAATTGAGGTGAAATTCACATAACATAATATTAACCTTTTTTTTTTTTTTGGTACTGGGGATTGAACTCAGGGGCACTCACCCACTGAGCCACACCCCCAGCCCTGTTTTGTATTTTATTTAGAGACAGATCTCATTGGGTTGCTTAGAGCCTTGCTTTTGCTGAGGCTGGCTTTGAACTTGCCATCCTCCAGTCTCAGCCTCCCATGCTGCTGGGATTACAGGTATGCACCACGGCTTCTGGCTAATATTAGCCTTTTCAAATGAACAATTCAGTGGCATTTCAAACATTCACTATGTTATGCAACTGCCATCTCTGTCCAGTTCCAAAATATTTTCATCATTCCACACAGAAACCCCATACCTACCTAAGCAGTTTCTCTCCATTTCCCGTTCCCCTCTAGTCCCTGATCACCAGCGGATCTTCTTTCTGTCTCTTGAACTTCCCTGTTCTGTATATTTTATATAAATGGAGTAATACAATAGGAGACCTTTCATGTTTGACTCCTTTCACTTAGTACACAGTGTCCTGGTGATTTCAGGTAAAACTTCAGCTCTCTGCTCCAACTAGAGTAACAGCTTCTGTAATATCCCCCCAGCTCTGCAACTGCAGTCATTGCAAACCATCCTGAAAAACAGTCAGCATGATCTTTATTCCCAAACTGATCAAGTCCTCCTGGCTTGTAATCATTCTGTGGCTTTGTACTACTTATAGGATGTGCTAGGACTCAAACCACACAAGGTCATAAAAGATCTGGTCTCTGTGTCTATGCAGTGTCACGCTCTCCTCCAGGCTGCCTGCCCATCCCAGCAAACTGAACAGGTAGTGCTTCCTTTGACTGCCCCAGGAAGACTCAGGGGACCCTTCCCTCATGCTTTCATATCTGCATGGCGCCTTTTACAGGAGAGGAGAGGAGAGCAAACCATCCTGAAGCTGCTTGTTTGTTGTCTCCCCACTCAAACTGTGATGTCCTTGAGAGCAGAGAATGCACCTGTTCTGCTTTGTACCTAGTACCTAGCACAGTTCCAGCATGTGGCAGAAGCTCAATAAACATCAGTGTCTTTTGAAGAACTGGAATTCTAGGAGAAAGTGACATCTTCCAACTTATGCACAGCATTTAATGGACCTGGTTAGAAATAGAATGTGAGAACATATGATTTTTGGACAATGACTCCTAACCACAAACACAAAATTGAAGAAGAGGAGGGGCTTTGCATACCCTGCCCCTCACCACCTTCCCAGAGCAAAAATGAACATTAAACTTCCAGAATCATCATAGGATTTTTAAAACATGATTGATGAAAGCTGCAAGATTAGCTGTGGATTCTGTTTTAGTTCTTTGAATATATGGAAATGATGTCCAAACAATCGCCCCACCTCCCACCCCCCACCAATCTCCACGGTCATTCCTTTTTAACAACTCTGCCCACTTCTCTCCAATCCCCCACCTCCCACTTCCCTATTTTTGCCTTCTCCATCACCTTGTTTGGAGAGGGGCCACTTCTGAACTCAGGATTAAGAGAAACAGTTGTTCTCGTGGCTCATGGTGTTTTAGGACCATGGTCACTGCCAGGACTCTACAAGATTGGTGTTTCCTTCTACCTTAATCACTGCCAGGCCAAGCCTGCTTTAGGACGGTGTGTAGTGTGATAGGTGGAAATCGAGGCGTGGAGAAGTTGGAGGTCATGACAAACTCTGCTTCCTTGCTATAGAAGGTCAACAGCACTTCTCATGGGTGCTAATCTTGGCCCTATATATTAATAGTTTAAACACTCTTCCTACCAGCGGATGAAGAAACATACCAAAGAAAAATAATTTAGGATGATAGTAAGCAGACAAAATGACAAGATTGATTTTGAAGGAGTTCTGCCTTTATGTGCTTCCATACAGGAAATTCTCTGTCCAAAGGGCTTTTGGATGTATACTTTTCTGAACATAACATTGACAAGATCCTAGGTGAAAAGAAAAGGCCAAAATCACATTGCTAAGGAAGGAAAAAAGGAGAAAAGCAAGGAAGGAATGGAGGAAAGGGACAGAGGGAAGGAACCTAAACTCTATGATGGATCAGAATGGAACAAAAACACAAAGTGCTCAACTAGACTGAGGCTGCCTGCAGGAGGAGCATCAGGGCTGGGAGTTTGGCTTCATTTGATAAATGGGACAAGGGGCAGGGTCTGGAGCTGGACTCTGCTCAAGAGTCTGGGGTTGGTCTCCTGGGCTGATAAAAGAGGCTGGGGAAAAAAATAGGGTGGGGGAGGGGCCACATGAGCCCATGTTCTAAGCACCAAGGTTTCTTCCATTTTGTTCTCCTTCACCTGGGCCAGTGCTGACCATCATCTGGGACTATGGCTTTGGGCTGCCTTCTGGATAGAAGGATTGATAAGCAACCAGAACTTTTGTTGTCACAGTGATGGGCTTGTCCATATACCTAAGAGAATAGGATTTTTAAAAATGCTATTCTAATACCTGGCTCTGTGCTAGAGCCCCAGAGAGCTGGGCAGACATAACTTTAAAATTATTACACTAGGAGAGTGGACACAGGGGAAGAGAGAGGAGAAGGAAAAAGACCCCTTCTCCCCCAAATGAGCCTGTCAAATGAAGTTTTGAAACGCATTGAAGCTTCTAAGAAACTACCAAAAATAACAAGTGAAATATAAATTCATTTGAAATGAAGTTAATTTCATGTAACAGCCCGAAGGAGTGAAATAACTAACTATTAATTGTAAAGAAGGAAAACAATTTGGGATAAGATATGTAAAAGCTAACACTAATCTTAAGCTTGGGGGAAAGGCACTGTTCAAGATGCATGTGGTTTAAGCATGCATAGATTTCTGTGCTCATAAAAGGACAGAATCCCAAAAGGAAGTCCTCATTCTGCAGTGATACATGCATACCCATGTTGATAGCAGTGCAATTCACAAAAGCCATGTTATGAAATCAGCCTAGGTGTCCATCCACAGATGAATGCATAAAGAAAATTGTATATATAAAATCAATGGAGTTTTACTCAGCCATAAAGAAGAACAAAATTATGTCATCTGCTGAAAACAGATGAGAGCATTATGCTGAGTGAGGTAATCCAGATTCAGAAGATCAAGGTTCATATATTTTTCTTTAATATGGGGGAGCTAGAGAGAAAAAAGGAAAGACAAGGGACTTCATGAAAATAGAAAAGAGACCAGTAGAAAAAAGGCAATCAGAGGAGAGAGAAAGGAAGGAAGATATAGGGAAATGAAGTAGAGCAATTGATACCAGGAGCATGTACAAATATATCACAAAGAATCCCAAGATTATGTATAATCATAATGCACCAATACAATAATTTATAAAAAGAAAGAGGGTAGAACTACTGGCAAATTTATAGTTCAGCATACATGTTAAGCCTGTAGGGCAATCCCCAACACTATAAAAAACAATATGTAGGGCGCTGAGGCCTGGCCCAGCCAAGATAGGGCTGGGGCCGCGCGTAGGGTGGGGCTGGGTAGTGTGGCCTCATTGTTCCCCGGAGTCTCTGGGACAGGACTCAGGCCGCCGGCACCATGAAGATGTGGACCTCGGCAGAGTTTGTCTTTGACCACCCATGGGAAACTGTTACAACAGCTGCAATGCAGAAATACCCAAACCCTATGGACCCGAGTGTGGTTGGAGTTGATGTGCTGGACAGGCATACAGATCCCTCTGGAAAGCTGCACAGCCAAAGACTTCTTAGCACAGAGTGGGGACTGCCTTCCATCATGAAGTCTCTTATTGGTTCAGCAAGAACCAAAACAAATGTGCAAGAACATTCTGTAGTTGATCCTGTAGAGAAAACAATGGAACCTAAATCATTAAAAACTTAATATTTCCTTTACAAATATGGTTTCAGGGAATGAGAGACTTATCTACAAACCACATCCTCAAGACCCAGAAAAGACTATTTTGACTCAGGAAGCCATCATCTCTGTGCAGGGAGTCAGCCTTCGCAGTTACCTGGAAGGACTGACGGCCTCCACGATATCTTCTAATGCTAGTAAAGGCCTAGAAGCAATGGAATGGGTAATACATAAATTAAAGGCTGAGACTGAAGAGTTGGTGGCTTCAGCAAGAGGAAGCTTGAGGACACCCATGGCGGTGGCGGCATTTGTAGAAAAATGATGAAGCATTGGAACTGTACCTGACTTTGGTCCAACCCCAGAGCCAAGCAAGCAGAGCCCCTCCTCATACACACACACTCACCTTGCCAATACAGACTAGCACAGCCTGCATGGGGGAACTGACTCTAAAATGAGAACTTGTGTAGTTTTAAAAGACATTAAATTGTATAAAATAACTTGCTCTGCTAAAAACCACAGTGTTTTGATTTGGTATTTAAATGATATTTTTGGAGTAAAAATCATCACTAAGTCTAATATATGACTCCAACATAAATAAGATTTTATTGAGTTATAGAGTACTGTGTTGATTTGCCAAAGTTTTGTAACTTAGTAAAGGTAATACCTTCCTTGGACTTGTACTTTATGATTTAGCCTGCTGTACTGTGGGCTGGTTATGTTAACTAAAAGAAATAAAGTCATTACCTGAGGGAAAAGAAAAAAAAGAAAAACAATGTATAGTTTTTAAAACAACAGAAAGAAAAAAGGGTCTGTGGAAAATTTTCATCCTTCCAACAGAAGGCAGAAAGTGAAAAAGGAAAAAAGAATTAGAGGAAACGGGTAGTAAAAAGAGATTTGTACCCCTATAGGCTGTGCTTTGGAATGACCAGGCAGTCAGTTTTCCCTGAGACTTCCAGTACCCAAGCAGTGGTGTGCTCTGTAATATCCTGCTGGGCAGAGGTGAGGTGGGGTTGATTTATAGTGTTTACTGATTTCTGTGGTTTAAATATGCCCACCATGACCACCTTCCAGCTACCAATGTGATATCAGCTATTTCACAAAATTCCTGGAAAGGTAACAATGATACCCAGTGAGCTCGTGGCTGCTGGCTCTAACACATCACTGTTTGTTTGGGATGAACAGACCTTCCTCCATGGTCTTCATACTACCTGTAACTTTTTGGCAATAAAATTAAAATTAAACCAATGCAACAGCAGGGAGATATTACCATGAGAATGATCAAAATCTGAGACACTGACAATACCAGCTGCTGGCCAGGATGTGGAACAGCAGGAGCTCTTACTCATGGCTGGACAGAATGCAAAATGGTTCAGCCACTTAGGAAGATAGTTTGCAGTTTCTTACAAAATTAAATACGCTCTTACCATCCAACCCAGCAATCATACTCCTGGGCATTCCACCCAGATGTTTATAAAACACAGATGTTTATAAAATCTTTATAATTGCCAAAACTTGGAAGCAAGAGACCGTGAATGAATAAGTAAACTGTAATACATCCATGCAATGGAATATTATTTAGCACTCAAAAGAAAAGGAGCTATCAAGCTGCAAAAAGACATGCGAGGACCTCAAATGCACATTGTTGAATGAAGGAAGCCAACGTGAAGAGGCTCCATATATGATGATTACCATGTCAGAAGATAAAGAAGAAATTAGAGATGGCAGAAAGATCTGCAGTTGTCAGCAGGTGGGGTGGGGGTAGGGATGACTAGGCATAACAGGATTTAGGGCAATGAAAATATGCAGATGATAACATAGTAGTAGATACATGTCATTATAAATTTTTCCAAACTTATAAAATGAATGACACCAAGAGTGAACCTTAAGGTAAGCTGTGGACTTCAGGTAGTTCTGATTTCTGATCTGTCAGTGTAGGTTCACCAATTGTAATCAATGTCCTGCTGGGGGAGGTGATAATGGAGGAGCCTATGCCTGTGCAGGAGCTGGGAGTGGGAGGGGGCTCTCTGTCCCTTCCTCCTAATTTTGCTGTGAACCCAAAACTGCTCTAAAAATTAAAATCTATAGTAAAATAAAATAAACCCTGCATGTTTCTAACTGAAAACATAAGGGAATTTATTGGGAAAACAGTCGGTGGCATTGTGTTATTAGAGTATTTATCATACGATTGTGGAAGGCTAGTAATTTATGATCCTTGCTAGCAAAGCCAGATCAATACAGAGATAAATGTCCTCAGCACAATAGAATTTATATCCTCCACATGATAATTGACCGTCGTGTCATACATTCAATCATTCATCTCATTATCTGATACAACCAGCAGAAAGGCTGATGTGAATGTGATTTATTAAAGCACACCAAGTGAAACCCTCCACCCAACTTACCTGTTACCTGTCCTTGGCAACATAGCATCCAGTTGTCTACCTCTAGCAGCAGGATCCCATAAAAGAATCAACCTGGTTCCATGCTAGGCATCTCTTGTTGAGTTAGAAGTGATCCCATTCACGCCCAAGCTAGCGACCCACACCCCCTCTTTTTACCCAGCTGTGGATTCTGCCTCCTTTTCTATTTTCCCCAGAACACATGTGACCTGCCCTAGAGCAGATGTGGGTGTGTAAATGTTCTTTTTTTTTTTAAATTTATTTCTGTGTTCTCAATTCTATTGCCTGTGTGTCTGTTGCTATACCAATAACTGATTATCTTGATTACATTAGCTTTTTAATAAGTTTTGTGCTTTGGAAGCATTAATTATCAAACTTTTTCTCATGTAGTTTTGTTTAATATTGTAGCTCTCATGAAGAAAGAGTATTGTCAAAGGTTAACTAATTCCTTACTGTGTCATGATGAACTTCTTGAATACTTCTAATGTTTATTTCTTTTTGAGAAAGCTTTCTGTTCCCATTTTTTCCTATTCCTATTTTAAGACAGCAGAATAGTTGCAATATATTATTTTGGAGATAGAACTGATTTTTGACTTTTTTAAAAATATTTTTTTAGTTGTCCATGGATGTTTTTTAATCATTTATTTATTTATTTATTTATGTGAAGTGTTGAGGATCAAACCCAGGGCCTCACACATGCCAGGCAAGGGCTCTACTGTTGAGCCACAATTCCAGTCCTGGGTAAATGTTCTTAAAAGAGTCTTTATTGTCACTGATTTGCAGCTGTGGGTCTATTCTGTGACATGGAAGTTCCACATCACCTATCTAAGCACGTCACCGAGTATGTGGCTGGCTTGAAGCTCAGGACACACTACAGTACCAGGGAAGGGAATCAGCATGCTCTAGGGAGAGAGAATGGGGCAATGGGGAAGGAAAGCAGAAAGCTAACCATTCAGAAAACCTAGGCTTAGCGCTGGTTCCCTAACACTGCAGTGGAAACTGTTCCAAAGGCCTCCTTCTTCATTCTCAGCCCCTGGGAACATTTGTTGCCTGCAGTGTCTGTGCTTTGCTTTTCAAGGGTTAATCAGATGGCCTATTATTCAGCAAATTAATAGCTTGGCTGCCTGAGAGTTCCTTTCAGAGAGGATTAGGGCCTCTGATGAGGCTTTGATGTAATAGATGGAGCTGTACTGCTCCATCATGCTAATGGGGGAGTTTTAAGGACTCCCCAGACTCTCTTTGGCAGTCTGTGTCTTTATTCATTCCCTTGCCTAAAAAAGAAAAATATTGTATCTTACAAAATTTAGTGCTTGGACAAGGCACTGGATTGACATCCCTGGGGGGTGACGTATTCATTTCTCGGTCTAACAGCACACACAGAAGCAATACTCACAGGCTTCCTTGGGTGGCCACTTCCTCAGGAAGAGTTCTCTTTCCAAGGGGCAGCAGCAGTACCAATCTGGGCCTTGTAGTTCATTGTCCTTTGAAACTTTCTGACTCAGAAGGGGGATAACGAGTGACAGACACTGTGACAGTTTGTGTCCTCAGGAACATGAACCAAGACAGTCCGTCAGTAGCTGTGTACGATCCAGAGTTGCATAAAACATTCACAACTCCATGTGATCTGATGAGATTTTTTTTTTCCAGGTTTTTCAGGAGTGGTGAGATTGTTAGGAAAGTCTGGCTTGATTCATTGCCCCAGTGTGATGTTCATACCATCAACAATAGGCATGGAATTGGTGACCCACAGGGGAATGTTGAATCCACTTACGTCTGTGTCCAAAGAACACACATTGAGGGAAGGACACAAAGTGTGGGTGATAGCGACCCCAGGACACTTGTGAATATCTAATCCCCACCATGGATTCCAGCTTGAAATTCTTGCTGGAACCATTATCAGCATCATTTAGGAGGCAAACTGACTGCCCTGTTGTTTCCACACCCACTTGGGATGCTCAGTCCTCTCCCCCTCCCCCAGCTCCCACAGTGGGGATAAAATTGCTCCTTCCTCTGGGCTGCTCTCAATTCAAGGAATAAACTTTCCCTGCAATCTTCTTCTTGGACTTTGTATGATCAGCACGTGTGCCGTGGCACCTGCCTTTCCTTCACTTGATGGTTGCCAGCGTGAGTGTTGCTTTCCACGCTATTAGGAATCAAGGGGCCTGAGCCTGTAAAAGTTCACCAGGTCTCTTGTAGGGTTAGCCCTGGATTAAGATCAGAGGTCTGTGCCTCTTTGTATTGGCCACCCAGGATGAATTTTTTGCTAGATGATTCTTTGGTATTAGGCATTAGTTAGGATTGAAGAGCACTCTAAGAAACAACCCTATGAAAGGGACCAGGGGGAGGGAGGAGGAAAAGGAAAGGGGGAATACTACAAAATGATATTGACCAAATTACACTGTTATATTGTGTGCATGTATGAATATGTAGCAACAAATCCCATCATCATGTACAACGACAATGTACCAATTTTAAAAGAGGAAAAAAAAAATAGCTCTCTGACTGGAGAGGTGGCTCAGTGGTTAGAGTGTTTGCCTAGAATGCGTGATGACCTGGGTTCAATCCCCAGCACTGCTGGAAAGAAAGAAAAAAAGAAAGAAAGGAAGGAAGGAAGGAAGAAAGAAAAAAAATACTCTATGGAACTCATGGCCATGTTTACCAGAGAGAAACAGTATCCATTACATTACTTGCAGTCCTTTCTGTGAAAACCCAGGAGAGCTTATCTTTAGTCTCATTACCAATTATCACTGTTCTCTAAGCAGCTAGTCTGTTTGTCTAGAATGGATTTTAAGAAATAAAGACAGACATTTTTCCTTCCACATTGTCCGCTTGGAAGACTAGAGCCAAATTTGTGGACCTCTCTGACAAAGTCATTTATTTAGCATTCCAAATTCTATTTTTCTTCCCAAATTTACCCTTTGCTTTATTTTTTCGTCATTACATATACCTTCATTGAAACACCTGTTATTGTAAGATGCCTGGAATTATTTCTGGAACAGGACAAAGTATTAAAAATCAATTGCATACCCTACTAGTGGGAAGGTAAGACAACACAGCTGCTCTGGAAAACAGTCTGGTAGTTCTTCAAAAAGTAAACATAAAGCTATTCCACTCCTAGGAGTACATCCAGGAGAAATGAAAATATGTGCACACAAAAACACAGAAATGGGTATAA